GGGGCTTCCCGTGGCGGTGACAGCTCAGCTGAGGGCAACCTGGGCGCAGAGCCCGGCCCGGGGACAGCTCCGCTTCCGCGTGGGTTGCTAGGCCCACAGGGGTTCAGTGTCACACGCACCCTCCCCACGGTACCCTGCGGAGTCGGGACCGCGGGCGGCAGCAGCAGGGAGATGCGACACGAGGATTCAGGAACTGCAGCTCAAGCAGTCATCGCTGGCCAGCGCCGCCCAGGCCGGGCCGCACGCCTACAAAAAAGGAAGAAAAGGAAGAAAGCTCTAGATATAGCGACCAATCACGAGTACGCCGGTAAAAGCGTAGGAAGTGCAAGCACTGCCCCGTGCCAGGGAGTGCACCGTGTGCTCGAGCGCCAAATACCACCCTCCCCTACAAACCTCGATTAAACCGCCTCAGCAGCGGCCGGAGAGAGGGGTTAACGCTGGGAGCTGCCCAGCTCCTGAACAGCTGCAGCCATGCGCTCCTGGTACCTACTCCTTAGGACATTTCTGTAGCTTCCCAAGGAAGCTTTTGTAGCTTGCGTTGCACCATGAAAGCTGAGTATTATTTAGCCCTAACTTTGTATAAGATGTGTATACTTCCAAAAAGAAGCAGAGGAAGGAAGCCTAGAAGACAGCAAACTGGTTAAACTCTCTTTCATGTTTGTGGTGGGGCTCGCCTCCAGGTTAAGTAGTGCCTGCATTTGTAGGCTGAACTTAAATAACTTGAATTAAATAGATAAATCCAATTACCTATCTCCAGATCTAGAAGTATAGGTATCTCGCAGAGTTAATTAGACCATACTGTTGTGGAATAAGATTTCCTTTATACATTATGAGTACAAGCTTGATGTACAAATTATATCCTACATCTTTTTTTTCAAAAAGTATTTTAGAATTGTTGAAAAAGTTATACTTCAAGAGATGACTAATAGGTCATAATAATAATGACTATAATAAGGGCAGAGTAATAATTATAGGGTACACCCTATTACAGAATGAATGGATTTTCCTATCTTTCTTACATCCTCACAGGATCGTGCAGAAAGTATTGTCCTGAAGGTCCTCATCTCTTTCAAAGCCAATGATATTGAGAAGGCAGTGCAGTCGCTGGACAAGAACGGCGTTGATCTGCTAATGAAGTACATCTACAAGGGCTTTGAAAGCCCTTCTGACAACAGCAGTGCTGTGTTGCTGCAGTGGCATGAGAAGGTGCGTTTATGAGACACGCGTTCTTTTGAGTGGGTTATTCTTAGTAGCAGATTTTGGGACCACGACATGCTCATCGAGCCTGGTTAAAATAATCTTTCTGTTTGGGGAAGCTGAAATGCCATATTTCACATAGCATGAAGGGTATGGTCCCTGCAGGCTCACCGCTGAATTACATGCCTTAGGCTTTTGATTCCTTGGGTAAAGATTCTATGAGTAAAATTTGATTTTATGTTACACTGAACTAAATTAAAAGTGGCTTGCTCTAGTGATTAAAGCAGATGGAAGTAGAAATTCCTTCCTAGAGGGAAGCAAAATTTGCACCATACGTATACAGGGAAATGGAAGCCTGTCAAGATGAATGTGGTTATACTTCCCTAGCACCCTGGGTTCTGGTTTTGTGCTGTATGTAAAGTGCTGGGAGCTGGTAATTTGAAATAGGGCCTGGAACATGGAAGGCCCTACTGTCAAGCAGTTGCTTCAGGCTGTAGTTACCTTGACTTTCTGTTAATTGCCATGTTTCTCTTCTCAGGCCCTGGCTGCTGGAGGAGTAGGGTCCATTGTCCGTGTTTTGACTGCCAGAAAAACGGTTTAAGTCCAGCAAGAAAGGGTTGTCTGTCACCCACGGCTGTGGGAAACGCTGGTACAAAAACCAAACAACCAAATGCCATTGCTGCCCTGTGGGCAGCTTCTGTCTCTCAGCTTGCCTTCTCGCTGCTTCTTTCATATCTGACAAAACGCATATCTTGATCTTTTTGTTGAACTCTGGAAAATTATGAAGGTGCAATTTTATTTCTAACAGGAATATTTGGTACTCAAGAGCATTTTGGTGACATGTATAGCTACATACACAACTTCATGTTCAGGAGAGATTGCATTTGTATATAATTGTGGCAGATTTGGACCTGACTTTCCAAGCAAATGCTGAGGGACGTAGGACAGTGTCTTAATTCTTTTCGCTATCCAAGCAGTGTTTTGATGTAAGATACATATTTGAGAAGTGGGGCAGCTATTACTGTAAGTAACTGGACCGTGTTTCTCTTGGTCAACCTCTAAAACTACAGCAGAGAATAGTACAGAAGGCAAAGGCTGCCCTCCAGACTTGATTATCATTCCAGAAAGATGAATACATTTTTCTTGGTCTTGTATCTCATGGCCTAGTCTGGTTTCTTGTGATCAGTCAAATGCGAAGTCCACTGTTGGAAAGTCACAATTTGGATTAAAGTGTCTATTGTGCAATTTGGATGGCAGAATTTGAAAAACTGATGGGCTGTCTACACTAGAGCCTAGTCCCATAAATTATTCATTTTGGGGAGCAAAGATTCTGATGAGGAGAAGAAAAAAGAGCTTTCACACGACAAATCACCTTTCAGCAACTTGAAAGTGATTTGATTTTGTCAAGCACAACATAACGGCAGCCGGTGGTAATCAAAAAATTCATACTAGCACCTGCACCATCCTTTGCAAAGCTCCTATATTTTATTTTCCAGATGTGTAGGGTCTTAAAGGATCCCCCAAAAAGTTTACATCCCTGTTGTATTTTACCACACTGTGTTAGCTAGTGGGCAAATTAAGTCCCAGCGTAGAGAGTATTTTAAAAAGAATTAAGCAAGCCTAGGGCATCTCAGACCACAGATAGCCTTTGAATGTTTAGGGCCAGGGCTTAAATACACTTGTTTTACATTCACCATTTTACAGCAATTCAGATATGTAAAACTGTTGGGAAACTTGTGAAATCTTTGCTGTTTTTTGATATCTGCTTTTTTTGTAATAATAATAAAGACCAGACAATAAATCATCACTGAATATTTACTTAGTGTCTGAAAAGCCTGGGTAGTTGGAAAAGGGTTGGAATAACATTACTTAGTCCAATATGGTGCATTACAAGGACTAACAAAGTGAAAAAGCAGTGAAAATCCTGTTTTCTCCTCAGTTAATTTTCTTGATAAGCCACCTTCACAGTTATTCATACTTGTACATCCTGCTAGAAAATTTGAGACTTTGGTGAAATATTTAAATAACAAGCCATATTCTAAACCAGATTGCTTGCCATAAAATATGAGCCAGCAGGGAGCATCCGTTACAGGCTTTGTCCAAACAGGCACGAGAAGCGCGAATGGTAACGGGGCTAGCAGGGCTGCCACAGGGAGCTAAGCTCCTGACTTCATGGCTCGGATGGTTCATCTCCAGCCCAGCTCCGAGTGATGAAACACTTAATTGTTGTTTGTGCTTTAATTACTGGTGGAGCCCTGGCTAGGCCTGCCCATAGGACAGCTGCATTGAACGTCACTGCTGCTGACACACACCCTGCTCGAGCCTCTGCAGGACCCACAGAAACCCAGGCCGGGTGCTCTTTCATCTTAATCACATCTGAAAGAGGCTCAACTGGAGCAGGCGCTGGACACACAGCTGCCCTTACTCCAAAGACCAAAGGAAGTGTCCAAGTTTCTAACATATCTATAGGAGGAATAACTTGCTTAAGACACTGATCTGTTCTTATTTTTAAGAAAGGAAATGATGTAATCCCAGCTACTTGAAAAACATTTTCCTGAATCATCCTTTTTCAAAGCAGACCAACTACCTCTAGGTGGCATTAAATAAACAAAAGCTAGGAGCTGACTGTCTCTGAATTCTCCTCTAAATTATATACTACTAAGAGTAGTATATAAAGTATTTAGAGATATTAATAATGAACATGTATCCTCTGCATATAATTTCAAGGACACATTCAAAGACAGGATAGGTCTGGTCAAGCACCAGTGCAAGGGAAATGAAGAGTGCAAGCCTTGCAGGAAGGCACCTCTTTCACTAAACTGATTAATGGGGTAAAAAACAAATCTAATAAAAAAATCATCCCTTTACTACAAGTCCTGCCTGCTATTGATCTTGGGCACATAAATACCACAACACAGAGCAAGCAATGAAGGAGTGTAACGGCAATCTGTGTTTGAACACCACCATCTCCATAGGTAGGGTTCAGAAAGCCCACATACCTGCTCTATTTCATTGTAAGGTATTGCTGGCCCCACAAACACACTGAAAGCCCAGCAGAATAGATTCAGCTTCGGAAAAGAAAGAGCCTGTGAGAAGCCAATGGCAAAAACAAAATCTGCATCTTTGGAGAAACCCAAGAGTAACGCTGGCTGTAACGAAAACACTCCCACAGCCAAGGGGGAGCAGTGACTATTAATAAGCACATTGTGCCTGTTGTGCTCACGTCACTTGTGAAGTGATTCACACTTGCCTCATCCACCCGCATCGGCCAGGGCTGCAGGAGCAAGGGCAGCTTCACTATCCTCAGACACAAACTGCAGCACAAGGCACACGCTCCCAGCACCCTGCCAAGAAGGGCAGCGCAGCCCCGGGGAGACCGGGGCAGCTTCCTCTTAAAAGAGGAGTTACTTCCCCCTAGTAGTAAAAGACTGCATCTGTTTCTCTCGCAGTGTGAAAAGGGGTGAAACCTTCCCGAGACAAACATCATGTACCGCGAAGTGCTCGCTCAGCACAGACACAGGCTCCAGGGCTGTCCCCGCTCCGGAGCTGAGCGCGCACGGGAGCCTCAGCGCTCGCTCACAACAAGCGAAACTGATGCCAAGAGAAAGCAACAGGACAGGGAGGGCGAGCGAAAGAGCAAGCAGAGGGTGAGAGCAAGGAGAAGAGTAAACCTCCAACCAGAACCATCCTCACACAGCTGGCCAAGGGCACCCAGGCAGCAGTGACAAGAAGGTGACACATGTTACAAACAGGATTAACAAAGATAAGGTAACGCAGAAAAGTGGGCGAGGGAAGCAAAGAAAACATTTTCCATTGTGCAAAAGGCATTTCCCTTCCTCTAATTAAAAGGAAACCTTCAAGGAAAAACATTCTGCATACAAATCAGAGCTCCTCCACGGGAGATGGCATTTGTAAGGCTCTTCTAGGAACTGCAAAGTTTCTTACTGCTGCTTTCAGGTTTGGCCTAAGCCTGTCATAACAGCACCCCAGTTAGTCACTTCCCAGTTTTGCAATAGCTAAACACTTAAAGGAGAATCTGCTGCCCTCCCACCGCGATGAGATACCCGCTGGCCTTTCCTGCCTCCCCAGCTCCTGGGCTTTGACTCATCCATGGTCTGGCCAGACGTTACCGTGCTCTCTGCCACCGCTTGGGAGTGACACAGCAAATAAGGTCTCACGCACACAGCTGGGCTGTGGCCACAGAGCAGACCTGCCTCCTGGGGAAGGAGCCACACAGCCCGGCTCCTCTGTTCGTCCTGTGTTAGCGAGCTTGTTTCCCTCAGAATTAACACTTTCTAGTGCCCTGATTTTTATTTTTATTTTTGGTCTCCTTTCCGGACTCTCTCTAGAAATGCTGATAAATTCTTGCATACAGTTACCGTACAAACTTAAAAGCCACTTATGCATTCTGGCTGGATCTCTACATATTTTTATCTCTCTCTCTCCAAGATCTCTCTTTGTGCAAGATTCCAGGAATCTCACATGGGAGATGTTACCATCTATATTATCTATTTCTGTTTGGAAACTAACATAGAAGCAGCAGCGTCTGCCTAATAAATAAAGCTGTCGAGAGAAAGGGGAACAGACTCACCGCGTTACTAGAAGAGATGTGTTTATCACAACTTTGAGATAGTTTGAACACTTCCTATACGTTATATAACTAGCAGAAGGATGCCTGTCATTAAGTGCATTAGCTGTGCCTGAGACTTTCAGAGGCCATCTTCTTTCTGAGCAATACAAGAAAACAACACTCACTTGGTTAAAGTTGCAGAATTACAGTATTGGTGCCTGCAGCTGCACTTCTCATCTAAACAAGGGTTAGTAGTCACATATGTTATAACACGGAACATTTAAGGACAGGAGTTAAAGTTACTTTTTATATTATTGGTGCACCAATCTAATGGTCAGCTGTCACCAACAGGGTGATCTTGCATCCATCCCCTTGTACCAGCATTGGGATCTACCAGTAAGATCATCTGGTTAATTAAATCATCATAAAATCATCCCTAGAATGCTCTTCTGCTAGATGACACCTCCATGGCAGTAGTGGGATGGCAGAAAGAACAACCGACACAGCAGCCATGAGGTCAGTTTAGCAAGAACCCCTAGCTGGGACCAATCTTTGCCCTCAAGAGCTCAACAGATGCACAGGTTTTCAGATGGAGGAGGGAGAAGTGACATGCAGCAAGTCACACGGCCAAGAACAGTCAGCTGTCCCAAGTCCCAGTGTGGTGCCCTTTGGGTGCTGTAATTCCATGTAAACCCTTCAGCTACACAAGTCATCATCTGCCCAGCACCTAAAGCCTGGAGGTGAAAGGATTCCTGCTTCTAAGCATTGAAATGTCCCTTTGGAAGAACAAATGTCCTTGGCTTCTACGTGAATCTCTTTCAAAGGAGTAAGAAAAGGCTTCTTGGTGGGGTGTGTTAACACTCACAGATTTGGCATTCCCATCCCTCTCCTTTGGCGTCGCTCAGACAGGTTGTGTTTCCCTCAGCTCTTCAGAGGTGGCAGCTGCTCTGTGCCCTTCGCCACTGCTGCGGGAAGCCAGCTGGGCACAGGGGGATGCCGAGGGTGTGCTCAGCTTGCAACCTGGGAACCAAAGAGAGAGCCCGAGGTGCAGGAACGTGCCCCACCACCCTGCTGAGGGGAAGGGAGCCTTTTCGTTCAGCACCTCTGGCTTCTTCCCACTCTCCAAGCAGGAAACAAGAAGAGTCTCTTCCAGGATCTCCCCACTCTTGTTGGTGTTCTCTGAGGGGGAAATTAAGGTAATAACCTGACTGCACAAAACCCAACGCAAAAGACAAACTGGAAGATGCATCTGGGTTTTCCAGGCAAACCGTAGGTGTTTTGTGGGATGAATTTCACCTTGGGAAAGCAGGAGGACAGCCGCAAGGCTGCAAGCAGCCATCCCAGCAGAGTGAAACAGTTTAAGCCATTTAGTGCCTTCCTTCCCCAGAGGCCACGTTCTGGCGGCAACTCCCCAGGTTTCCACTGAAAGCCCCAAGGAGCGAGACCCAGAGCACATGAGCACTAGCCTTGGCTCCACTTCCCCATCCCCGGGGCCACGTCCGCTGCCCCCATGCGAGGCCACTTCCTGCAGGGTTTGCGACACGGCTGCCACCACCCGCGGCAAATGCAGAAGTGCCGCAGAAGGCAGCGGGGGAGAGGCCTGGCAGTGCAGGCAAGTACAGGCAGAGACCCCTGAGGCAGCTGGCGGCCCCGCGTCCCGCCATGTCGCTGGTGGAGACCATCCGGCTCTGGAACGAGGGGGTGTGCGCGGCCGACCAGAGG